GTCTTGGAGTGCATTATCGTGAATCATTGGGCATCAACTCAAGGGTTTCACCTTCATTGTTGACTCTACCTCCCGTCCCTTGTATGCATATGTGGGAGTCTCAGTTGAGTTTTGCTAAGTCCTTTGACTACTGGTGCCCAGTTCCAGGTGCACTGGTATTTAGCCTGCTTGGCAAGTAGGGTTGCCTTATCTGAATATTCAGCTAAAAGCTAAAATTTTGTTCATTTTTTTCCCTTCACTGCACAGGAGAAAAACCCCAAGCCTATCAATCAGCTGTTAGATAGATCTACAATGACTGTCCAAGAGATGACACTCCTCCTTTTCAAACTGACAGGTATGAAAAGCAGATTTGCGTAAATCATGGTGAGAAGTTGGGTGGACTCTGATGAGTTGATTGTGGTGATTTGTCTTTGCTTCACATTTCAATATGGCATCCATGTTTTCTTCCTATGGCTGCTGTAGCCAAGTTCCACAAAGTGGAACAAAGTTTGTTTAACGAAGTTACACAACAGAAACTTCTTTTCTCAAATTTCCGGAGGCCTGAAGTTATGAATCACGTTATATTCAGAGCCGTGTTCCCTGCAGAGCCTCTGAAAACAGATCCTTCCTCACCTCCTCCAGTTTCCAGTGGCACTAACGAGTCCCTTGGCTTGTGGCTGCGTAACACACATCTCCACCTCTCTCTTCAGAGTCATGTCCCCCTGGGTCATGACGCTCTTATATCCCTCTTCTTATACGGACGCCATTCACTCTGGATTAAGGGCCCACCCTGCCCCATATTAACTAAATTAATTACAATCTGCAAAGACCCTATTTCAGACAAGGTCACGTTCTGAGCTACTGGGGCCAGTTTTGGCATGGCATTGGACATGACTTAACCGATGAGAACATTTGGAGCAGGTCATCTCTGCCTGCGCCACAAAGGAAGAAGTTTAAATGAAGGGGAGAAAACTATACCTATAATTCTTTACAAAGGTGAGGGGTGGATTCTCCCGAGAGAATAGTTTATTGTGGGAAAGGGTCAAGGAATGCGTCATTCCATACTGGGTGAGGTAGACTGCCAGGAAGCATCCCATTCCTAGCATGCTGCATGGAGCTCCAGCCACACTGGAGCAGCACCGTTCGTGAACACAGGTGTGACAATGAGCAGACTGTGTATGGCACTCACTGAGGTAAGCTTTGGAGAAGAAGCCAGTGCTACATTTGAAAACCTGTGACTGCAAACACAGAATGCAAAAATCTTGAGGTAAGTTGAATTATACATCCATTACCCCTGTCCCCTTTCAAAGAAGAATGCTATCATTCTTTGGTTTTTGGTTTTGGTTTTGGCAGTACTGGGGTTTTGAACTTAGGGCTTCACACCCATTCAGCAGTCCCTCTATCACTTGAGCCACACTCTCAGCACTTTTTGCTCTGATTGTTTTGGAGACAGGGTTTTACCTTTTGCCTGAACCAGTCTTGACCACAAATTCTCTTAATTTTATCTTCCCACCCTAGCTGGGATGACAGCCATGTATATCCATGTACCCAGCTATTTCCATTGAGCTGGGGTTTCTCTGATATACTTTTTTTTTTTTTTTGCCCAGACTGGCCTGACACCATGATCCTCCCAATCTCTGCCTCTCAAGTAGCTAGGATTACAGGCATGAGCCACCATACCCAGTTTGCCATAGTTCTTAACACAACCTACAGTCCAAGACTCCAGATCTCTGAGAACATGAACGACCCCTTGATGCCACCCAGTGTCATCAAATGAAATGACATGCTTGAATGGACTTTAAACCAAAACGCTAAGGTACTTCATATTGCTTTGGGGGAAATGCTCCTAATTTCGTCAGCGTGTGCAGTTCTCCTTGTCTCCAGTGTGTGTGTTCATCATGCGAGGGTACAGGAGTGAGCACAGCGTCAGTGACAGGCCATGCCAGGACTGCAGCTCCTCTGGAACTGGCAATGTCATCCCAAGGAGAGTCCCATGTCACAAGCACTCTTCCACTACACGCGTGCTCACTAACGGTGCTGAAAGAAGTTTCTGATATCTCTGCACTTGATGGAAATTTCTGATTGCAAACATTTAAAAAATGTTCACGCCTTATCTCCCTGTTGTTCCGAGCATGCTCACCAAACATCCAGCACATCGCTGCATCTCACATGTAAAGTAACGGGTGAGGAACTCCTGAATTTTAATCCTCAGTGTTTCCAAAACCGTAACCTATTAACACTGTAAGAAGCAATGCCTACCAACAGTATCTATAGACATTTCTTATCCTAGTGTCGGTCAAAGAGAAATAATTTTAAGAAATATTTAGAATATTCAAATAAGATAATCCTTAATAGTCAGATCAGAAGTTCCCTGCAGGGAATTTATATTTTTATAAGATTTTTAAAATTGTATTATTTTCTGACTACAAATATAGGTACAGGGTAGAAAATCATAGAAAATCTAAAAATTAAGAGGTAGAAATAAAATATAAACCCCTCATGATTCCTGGATGAATTGCTGATGGCGGTGGCTGACCCATAGTGACCACTATTAAATGTGCTTGCAAATCTTGATCCATATGTGTTTTATATATGTATATTTATATTTAGATAAATAAGATCATACTGCTACATAAATGGCTTTGCAGTCAGTTTACCTGATATTTTATTAGCTATCTATACTGATGGGTATCTTATAAATATCGCTAAGTCATAAGTGGTCTCCTGGCATTAGAGTGTTTAACACACTATTTTGCTATTGTATAATTATTAACCTATCTAGTTGGGTGCCTCTAACTTTTCACTAATGTAATTGGAATAAAGTAAAACTCTGCACATAGATCTTTATCTGCATTTCTACTTATTTTCTCAGTGTGGTGCCCTACCATAAAGTTTCTGGCATCAAAAGTTATTTAAACAAAGATATGAAATTGATAATTGTGAGATGGTTGTTGAGTGACTTAATGGTCCACAATGGTGATGGGCTTAGGGTTTGAATATGGCAGTGAATTCACAGTATCTACTTCACCCAGGATGCTTCTGAATACGGGGAGGGAACAGGAGAGAGCAATGATCTTTACTGGTTTCCACATTCCAGTAGCTCGGCACATAGCCTCACTGAATTCCCCAACACTCTTATGAGTTGGGTAAGAGATTTGAGGTTCAGCGAGGTTATAGAACTTGAGGGTCAAGGTCACATGACCTAGGATTGCCTGATTTCTGGTTCCTGGTAGCATACTCTTCACTGTATCAGTGACATCACTGCATGAGGTGGTTTTTTTTGTTTTTTTATTTTTTTAATGTAAAGATGATGATCAAGTGCACTGCATGACTCCGTAAGCTCTTTTCCCTTTACCTTAGTCTCTCCTCACACACAGAGGATGCGTCTAGACCCTGGTGCGTGTTTGACACTAAGGATGGTTGTCAAGCCCTATAAAGACACCACATCACTGGGGAGGTGGAACAGGGGTTGGGACAGAAAGACGTCTTAGAGAGGAGAGGGCTTAACAATTAGTGAATCTCAGAGTCCACAACATGTCTCAAATATTTCCTGGGGGACTTGAAGGCAAACGTGAAAGAAAACAGAGGAAGAACTCGATCCTTTATACGGTTAAACTAAATGACCCAATGATCCCATTCATTATGGTTGATAAGGTGTTTTGGGTCCTGTTAGTCTAATCTGCCCAAAGGTTTGCAAGATTTTTATGAAAATTCTAGCTCCAATAAAACATGATAACGTCTTATACTTGAACTTCATCCTCTGTTTCCTTTCTTGGCTATTCCAAAAATAATTTCATGTGGGCCCATATTTTTAACTTGAGAAGAGGTTATTCTGGAATATTTTTTTCATTTTTATTTTAATGAAAGCCAAATTCAGAGACAAAAACAATTTCACTCTTCAAAGGTCAGGCTTATTTTTACTTTTCTTCTGGATTTTTTTAAATAAAAAATTCAATCTCTTTGGTACCCCCCTGCTTTGTAACAAAGCAATTTTTTTCCACCTGGAGATCTTAACATTTTCCTCTATTTTAAGCTGAAAGGGTTGAGAGCAATTTATAAGTTCACATTTTGGGACTCACTGAAGCCAGTCACAAATGGCTTAAAATGCAATTTGGAGGTTGGTGTACAGACTCCATAGCTCCTTTGCAAGAAATTCATTATTGCTTTCTTTTTGTTTAAATCATAAAGTGTTTTTTTAAAAAAATCACAAATATCAAGACCTTTCTTTCTATGGTGTTGAGCACAAAGAAAATGCGCCTTAAAGCGACTTTATGAAGGAATCACTCTGTATGGACAGAACTCTGCTGACAGATTCTTAGCATCGGCCGCCCTTTTGAATTTATTACTTGCTTTGGGGCCCTCGAGGATCCAGTGGGGTACGAGCTATGGCATTTTCAATGTAAACCTTTGGCTTCATTATTTTCCTTACTAAAGCCCCTGAAATCATACCAGGTCCTGATCTGACATGAGCCACCCATTGAGAACTTTGGCTCTGGTGACCAGCATTATCTGAAGACATTTCCAAGCTGTTGGAGGGCAGGTTGGGAAAGGGAGAGATCTGTGGCCTGGGGCCCAGCCTAGGCACCCCACCAAGCCATCCACCTCAGGGCCATTCATGATGTTTGGAACAGCCCTGTAGTGCTGACTGCTAAATCAAGGTGCCATTTGCAATTTTACATCTTAACTTACTGGGGAGACTTTGTTTATTTTAGTCTCTAATATTACCTGCATTTCACAAAAGATAACTGTAACTCAAGTTCCAAAGCACATATTGAGTTCAGACAATGCGGTAAAAGCATGTTTAAATGGCAAACAAGGGTGCATCAAACTGTCACTGTTGACCACACCAGCTTGTAGCTAAAAGGGATTCTTTACAGGCCTGCCATCTTTGCAAACAAATCCTGGTTGAACACAGGTAGGCCAGATTAAGCACTTGGTCACACCCACTGTGACAAGATTGGTTTCCAGAAAAAGCAATGTGACTGAGCTGTGGTGGTTTCAGTGGAGTGACAGGTCGTCACCTGCTGATAAGTACACAGGACGGGGGCAACTTCGGTCCATGCACATGGAGTGAAAGGCATGGAATGGCCTGGGCCCCGGCCTGATAGTGTCACCATTACTACTCATGATTCCGTCACTGTTATCACTAACATGGCCACCAACAATACTGCCACAGCCACCATATTGTCACTGTCATTACCAGTATCATGGCCACCACCTATACCTACTGCCACCAACACTGTCACTGCCACCATCCCCACGGCTATGTCACTACCGCACTTCCACACTAGTGAGAGGAGCTCACGGGTCTCATCACAGCGTATGGTCCAGACTCACAGGAAGACCGCAGTGACACTTGGGTTCAGTTGCCTTTTGCAGGGAAGCTCACCTGTGTGTCTGGTAGTGGGTGGCAGGTCCACTGCAGGAGGATCCTTGGCTCTCTCACTTAGCTTCTCCTAGGTGACACGTCCCTTTGTTTCACATGACTTGTCTGCTGTGTCCCCTGTGAGCTGGGTAATGTCTCACAGCAAGCACTCCCTGCCTGAGAATCAAGTGACTCAGCAATGGAGCAGAGATGCGGTTCCCTCAGCAGTGGGTGGAAAGGGGTTCTAAGATGAATTACTTGTGCTTCTAAACAGGCTGAAGGCTCTTTAGGGATTCCCCCTCCCTTCCGCTTGTTAAATTGTACAGTCAGTTGTCAATGCCCGTGTGCTGTTAGTGGCTTTTACAAGTTCTCATTCATATTGCACCAAGTTTGAGAAGTGGGATATTTACATAGAACGTCCACTGAAGAAATGTAAGGCGTCCCCGTCCTTCCTGGACCTGCCAGGGCTGGGCAGTCTTCCCCAGCTTCTGAGTCGTCGCAGCCTTGTCACCTGCCAGCACCATGTTCAGCAGATCCATCACTGCTACTGCTCTGAGAAGCTGTTTATTCATTTTTATTTAGCAAGCATTTGCACAGACTTAGTAGTATAAGAATATTCCAGGTGTGCTACGTGCGTTGATTCATATAAATCTCACACGGCCCTTAAGAGGTGGGTAAAAAGAATTAAATCCTCTGTGTCCATTACTTTTCTCATTGCTGTGACAAAATATCTGCCATCCACAGCTTAAGAGAGGAAAGGTTTATTTTTCAGTGCACGGTTGCTTGACCCCATATGCACTTAGACAAGACAACATGGGGGCACAAGCAGCTGGTGGAGGACGCCATTTTTCTCATCATGGTCAGGAAACACAGAGAGAGACACAAAGGGACAGGAACCAGGAATAACCTTCAAAGGCCTCTTCCTTCAGATACCCCCACCTCCTAAAGTTTCCACCTTTCAAAACAGCCACCAGCCAGGAACCAAGTCCCCAACACCTGAGCCTCCCGGGGACACTCAAACCGTACATACTTAGTAATAATAATAATAATAGCTGTTATTAGTATATCACCATTATTGCTATTGTTTTTGTTGTTATTGTTGTTGTTATTTGGTATGACCTGGCAGGTGAAACAAAGTAATGTTTTTCCTTTCTTTAGAATTGCCTGCTGCAGGGAATAAATACCTAAGTTGTATGCGGCTATAGGATGGGCTCTTCCAGTGGGACAGTACATGTAATTCCATGTGAAATTGTACATGTAATTCCATATGAAAATCAGCTACATGGGCTGGGGTGGGGCTCAAGTGGTAGAGCACTTACCTTGCAAGTCAAAGGCTCTGAGTTTAAACCTCAGTGCCACCCCCCCGAAAAGAAGATGAGCAATGAATGAATTCTGTGATGAGGGTAGGCACAGGGGGCTAGGATTCCCCCAGATTTCACCCCTTCTCCCTCTTACGAGAGGTACTTCCTCGCAATGTGTTCTACCGTGAGCCTCAAACTTCTCAGGCTCAAGACATCTCCACACTTTTGTTCGAGAGAGAGTTAAGCCATGTGACTTATAACTGTTTATACTTAGTGTGGTAGAAAATTTTAAAACGTCAATTATTCCAAAATGAAATGGTAACCGCATTACACATTTTAATGAAACACAGCTGTTTTCTGAAAGCATGTTTGGAAGTGTGATATTGTCTATGTTTTTATATATCTGCCTTACGGGAGCCTGGTCAGTTCTCCTGTGTGCTTCTGCATCAAACCTCTTGTGCTGTTTTTTTTGGTTTGAATGATGTCAAGACAAATGAGCTTCACACAGATAGGTGCTTGAACAGAAAAGGAGTGCGTGAATAACCTTTGTAGATAATTACGGGTATTTTTCTTTGGTAGCTCTGAGGTTAGTCGCAATGGTCTTTTCCATTGCAGTGCATGACTTTTGTAACCTCATGTCTTAGTCACTTATAAAATATAGTTCACGTATGTGTGCAGATCTTCCCACTGTTGATACATTTTAATATACAATATAATATTTGTTAATATCATAACTTATCTAGAAATGTCTTTGAATTTCATTAAACTGTGTCATGCACACAATGGTGGATAGAAGTTTTTTTAAATTTTAATTTTTACTTGAAAGCTCAGATTTCACCACTGAACAAAATCTGTCAGTTATCTTCCTTGAAATGGCAAGTTCATCTGGGTTCATTTTGAAAAGGTATCTGCTAAATATTCATAGCTTTGCCATCCACTGTTCTTTTAAGTTAGTGTTTCATGAGAAAAAACGACTAGTTCAGCTTGCAACTCAACCAGGCACCACACATTCTTCCTTGAGCTAATCACCCCATTTGCGTGTGTTACAGAAGTATTTGTGTGAACACGATTTCACATTTCCTCCCATAGACCACCAACAAGTCATTCACTCCAGGGTTGAGATTTTATAACGTTGATATCTATATGGCTATATGAGGGACATTCTTAATAAAGCTGGATTTTTTTGCTGTGACAGTAAGGACTCTAGTTTGATACTTACATGGTATAAGTACAGATGGGTCCCAAAGCTTCCGCACGTGCTAAGCCATCAGCGACTTTACTCACCTTTGCAAATGTCACAATACCAACAAAGGAAAGAGATAGCTCGGCATTATTTTGAAAGTAGCTTGGACCTTACAGCCCCCGAAGGGTCTTAGAGACGCCTAGGGAACCAGGGAGCACGACTGAGAACTTGCATTTTGACAGTGGGAGAATACTGTGATTACGGAAAGAAGTGAGGGGAGCAGGAGTGGTGGCATTCTTACTGCCACCTTCCCACCGGGGCTGTGCCCAGAGAGCAAAGGCCAGCACGTGCCCCAGGCTACGCCTTGTACATCAACTTCCCCATCTCCTCCTGTGAGAGATGCTGACCTGTTGACTGACTGTGGGCAATCTCACTAGCTCTTCCTGCCTTCTTGCAGACAGCATCCCAGCCTCCCAGCCTCCCCAGCAGCGTTTCAGACAGAGCAGTGTCTGAAGATAATCAAATGCCTCCCCTTTGACACTCCCAGTGTGGACAGAAGGGGAACTTACGGATTTCTAAGTGGCCGTAACTTAGAATAAGTAACTTATTTTTTTCTATGACAGATGGTATTTGATTCCTAAGAAGCAGCTAAACGTTTTTAGCTATCTCAGATTATTATAAAATGTATTTTCTCTCAGAAAGAGTAGACTTCTGGAGAGTTTAAGTACACAATAATTTCTTTTTTTTTTCCTTTTCTTTTCCTTGTTTTGGTGATAATGAGGTTTGAACTCAGGGCTTCAACCTTCCTAGGCAGATGCTCTACCACTTGAGACATGCTTTCAGTACAGAATCATTTCTAAATGGCATGAGAGACAATTTTTTTCAGAGACAAAACTACCTATGTATTTTTAAACAATATGCTCTTTTTGATGGTGGACCTGGATTCGAACTCAGGGCCTTGCCATTGACTGACGAGTGCTCTGTCTTTAGCACCACAACTGAAGTCTTTTTTCCTTTAGTTACTTTCCAGATAGGGCCTCACTAACTTTTTCCCTCAGGCTGGCTTTAGACTGCTGCCCTCCTTTCTTACCTCCTAGGTAGCTGGGAGTTTATCTGTGAGTCGCCATACCTGGCAACAGTCTTTCCTTTCATATAACTGTAGGAAACAGTATAAAAAAACACAGGCCTCACCTCAAAACTGGTATTGTCTTTGTTCATTTGCATTTAATAACAAGTTTTGAGACGAAAGTTCAATTGGCTCTACCATACATTTGAACTTGAATTTTAGAAACACCAGTCTTCATTATAGTAACTTTTTGTTGTTGTTCTTGGTCATGGGTTTGAACTGAAGGCCTTGCACTTGCTAGACAAACACTTTACCCCCTGAGAGAGACTAGCCCTCTTTGCTTTAGGTATTTTTCAGATAGAGTCTTACTCTTTTTGCCCAGGCTATCCTTGGACTCTGATTCTCCTTCCTTTGCCTCCTGAGTAGCTGGGATTACAGGCTTGGACTATCATGCCTGTAACTCTTTTAATTGGTCTTTCAAAACAAAATGTTTAAAGGCTTACTTTTAATGAGCTGCTGAAACTCAGAGCAATGTAGCAATTGACAAATAATTTCTTCATATCACTTGATAGAGACAAGAAGAGGAAAAATGTATTACATTGAGGAAATTTGGAACAGAGGTTATGGCTTTTTCCTTCCCTTCAACCCATAGCACTTCTGCACTTTGGCCCCTTTTCCTGTTCGTCCATCTCTTCACTAGACACTGAAAGCAGGTGCCTCTGTGACCAGCCACCATTGAATCTTTCCCATTGGGCACCCTACCTGACACACGGCACTCAGCAAAGCTGCTCAATGATGCAAACAGACTGCAATGGACCTCACTATGAAAACATCAGCATGCATTTCCAATGACTTTTTTAAACACCCAAAAAGGAATATGTATCAATGAAGTAGCATAGTCTAAATTGGGGAGATATGTCCAGATATTAACAAAACATCAAAAATTTCAAAAGTGTGCCAGTAAATCCATTTTCCAAAGAATAAATTACCAACAGTGCTCACTGAAGTCCTCACTGGAATTGATACCTTAAAAACCAGATGTGTAGTTTCACAATCTGTGCCCCATATGGCTCTGTTGTATACAGTGGTAAGGTGACGGAATTTTCCATCAACATGCATGCACACGGACACATATACATACACATGTGCTTGCACACATGCATGCATCGGACTCTCACCAGAATCCCAGATCTCTTTGTGAGGGTACCAATG